TCCTTTCCGGCAACAAACCGCCCCGCCCCGCCCCAGAGACCAGGCCACGCCTTCCATGGCCCGCCCCCGAGGAGTTACTTCCTTTTTTTATTTTTATTTTGTATTTCAGAGAGGAAGGGAGAGGGGAAAACATTAATAATGAGAATCACTGATCGGCTGCCTCCTGCACACCCCGCACTGGGGATCAGGCTGCAACCCCGGCTTGTGCCCTGACCGACCGGCAATCACACGGTGACCTCCTGGTTCATAGGTCTACGTCTAAGCTTAACCACTGAGCAATACTGGCCAGACTATTTACATTTTTAAAAAATATGTTTTTATTGATTTTTTTTTTTTAGAGAGAGAGAGGAAGAGCGAGGGACAGATAGAAACATCCATTGGCTGCCTCCTGCATGCCCCCTACTGGGGATGGAGTCTGCAACCGGGGCATGTGCCCAACTGGGAATTCCACCCAGGACTTCTTGGTGCACAGGATAACCAACTGGGCCACACCGGCTGGGACGAGTTATTTCCTATTGTCATTCATTTACTGTATTTGATTGATTGAAACGCCCCCTCCCCCACATTGAAGCAGCAGAGGCCCAGCCTGCGGTTAAAGCAGACTGAGAGCTAATAGTGCAAGGGTAGTCAGGGTCAGGTCCAAGTTCACACTGGTTCTCCGACTCTAAAGTGGCACCCTTGACTGCTGAGTTCTAGACACTGTGCTCGGTACTTTACATGAGTTAGCCCTAAAAGCACACTGGGCCTCAGATACACCCATACACACCCAGCCCCTGTCCTCTACCCTTCACAGAAGTAAATCAACCCTTTGCCTTCTTGGGGAAGGAAGGAATCATAGCATCATTTAGAGACTCCTCTGCAAGTCCATTCTGCAGGAATCAGTAGTGGGTAATCACCCAACCCCTAGGCAGCCAAGGAGCAGCAGCTCCCTGAAGCTTGCCCACCAGTATTGGCCTTCCACCCGCTGCTGGGGCAGAGGCCTGGGCGACAGAGGTAGATGGTGAGACATGGCCTTCAGGAGCTCAGGTGGCTTTTTAACTGCACTGTAAAGGTTACAAGCTCCCTGGAGTTCAGTGTCCATACACGATGAATGAGAACAGGTGTCAACAGTGTCAACCAGGTCCGCAAAGGGGAGAAGAAAAAAGCTAGAGTGCCATATGCCCTCTGAAGAAAGTAGCAGGCATAAATCTGCCAGATGTACAGCAGTGACACAAGAAGGTAAACAGGAATAATTTTCAAGTATTTTCCTTGACGGAGATGAGACCTGAAGTTGTGACCATAGCACCGCTGCAGCAAGCTCCAACACAGGTAAGCCATCAAGGGGATGTTAAAAAATGCCAACTGGAAAGAGGAGAACAGCATCATTAGTTTACTAGCAAGCCCTCAGAGGAGTCAGGGCCAGGGCTCACCAATACATTAGGTAGCTCCTAAGAATATGTTGCTTTCCCTCTTGGGGGTTAACTCTCTGATTCTTTATGCTTCAATCACACTTGCTTATATCACAACAGTTGACTTATGGTTAGTTGTATATTTGGGCCTGTATCCTTTCATTCATTTTAAAGGCAAGTATCATTTCACTTATCTTGAAGCCCTCGATAATGTTTAAGGAGGAAATGAATTGAATCTGTATGCATACACACACTCACATGCTTTTTTGGCAGAGGGAGGGGGTTACTTGGGTATCAATATTTTTTTAATCTCTGTATTTTTATTTGAAGTACCATGATGATTACTGGAATACAAATTAGAAGGTTTAAGTTGTAATCCAGGTTTAGCTGCTGTACCATTCATTCATCATCCATTATGTGGCAAGCCCTGTGCAACACTTTAGGCCTGGGACATACTGGTAAACAAGTCAGAAAAGATGCATTATAGAGCTTGCATTCTAACAGGGAGAACCCCCCCCCCGCCCCCCAAAAAATTAGTTAATTACAGATTTTGAGAAATTCTATAAAGAAAATAAGAGGGTAAATGGCAGACGAACTCTCTGAGGCCTGAAGTACAGGAATGAGTCAATGGGAGGAAGTGCATTCCTGGCAGAAGGATCAAATGAAAAGCCCAGAGGTAGGTGAGGTCTTGGCCTATTTAAAGCCAATGGCCTAAAACATGATGAGCCAGGTGGAAATTTGGGCAATCAGCAGGACCCCGATCATGTCACTGCTCTGCTTAAAGCAGAAGTGGGGAACATCCAGCCTGCAGGTCGTATAAGGCCTGTGAAATCATTTGGTCTGGCCCTGCCAAGGCCTTAGAGGTGAGTTAAATGTTTGACCAAACATAGCAGGCTAATTTTTAAGGTAATAATTTTGCATGGCCCTGACTTAAATTAGGGTGGTAATAATGAGATGGAGAGAAGTGGTGGATTCAAGATATATATAGGAGACAGAGCAAACAAGGTATTACTTGCTAGATAGAATATGAGAGAAGGGGAAGGATTGGAGATATATCTTAAAGAAACTGGGTAAATTGTGGAGCCATTTAGTAAAATTGAAATTAACTAGAGAGGAACAAATTTGGGGGTAGAAATTAAAGGTCCTATTAAAGGTATACTTTTAAATTGAGATGCTTGTTAGATATCTAAGGGAAGACGAGAAGTGACAGCTGGATATATAGGCACTTGGAGTGCAGAGAAGAGGTCTAGATCAGAGATATAGATTTGGGAGTCATGAGCCTAGATGTAGTTAAGATCCATCATTAATGTACTACTATTCAAGTATGAATATATACCCATCCTTTGGTAAGGTTCAGGTTTTACTTGGTATAAGAGTGCTCCTGAGAGACAACCTCCATTTACATAACAAAAAACTGAACTGGACCCAGACGTATACACATAGGAAATGCAGCTTTATAGAGAACGTTCGGGCCTATGGCCAGTTTGCAGAGGTCTTCCCTATTTGTTTATCTCTAATCCTGCTGATCATGTTTACTACCCTGTTTGAACATTGTTCAAACTCATTTTGAACAATGTTTTTGGATCTCTTCCAAAACTCCAGATCATTACCTCCAGATTTTGGTCGATTAGTCCCCTTAAGTGAGTAAAATAAATGGTTAGGTAAATATCTTTCAAACCTATTTATAGAGATTTGCTATGGGTCAGGGTTTTGTTTGCGTGTGTGTTTGTTTTAAAGGTATTTCGATCAAAATGTAAATCAAATGTATCAGTGTTTCCAAAACAAGTATACTAATAAGACATTACTAGGAAACCCAGGGCTAGTTTTGCCCAGTGCAGCTTCCAGTGGTTAACTGAATACTTTTCTTATATGTGTCATTTTCCTTTCCTCCTTCTGAAATATTTTCCTGCTTCATTTTCATAATCAATTTTGGTTTAATCAGAAGTCTATCATTTATTCCACCATAAATCCCTTATTTCATTCTTTTTGTCAATAAAAAGCACGGTGAAACAAACAACAGAAACCAAAACCTCTTTCCCCTCTTATAAACCCTGTCTACCAAAAATGTATTTTAGATGTTTAAATGAGAATGGTGGAAGAGCTTAGGCAGTACTCAAAAGGCAAACAAAATACCAGTTATTAAATACAGCCGGCCAGTAAGTTAGGAAACATGATCTATGGCAGTGATGGCGAACCTTTTGAGCTGGGCGTGTCAGCATTTTGAAAAACCCTAACTTAACTCTGTGCCGTGTCACATATAGAAATTTTTTGATATTTGCAACCAGAGTAAAACAAAGATTTATATTTTTGATATTTACTTTATATATTTAAATGCCATTTAACAAAGAAAAATCAACCAAAAAAAATGAGTTCGCGTGTCACCTCTGACACGCGTGTCATAGGTTCGCCATCACTGATCTATGGTATCTAATTTGGGATTTTGAATTTAATTCTTACACAATTAGTCTGACAAAGTCAAGATGTTCTTAAGTTGCTTTTCTGACTTCTTACCTGGAGAATTCCAACCACAAATGTTAAACTGCCTTGTAGGAAACGCCCATCAACAAAGATCCCAAAGGAAAAGCAGCAACCCATTTTGCCTTTAGTAATTTCACCAATGAACCATGGTCCTGAAGAAGCAGTGGAGAGGGAAGATTAAATAACTATGACTCTCATTACATACATCACAAGATGCATTTGCAGGAATAACGAAGAAATATGAGGCTAGTCATCTATAAGCATTTTATTTACATAGCTTTTTTTTCTTTGCTAATCTCTATGCTGCACCCGATATCCTAGCTAACCAACTAACTATTTGCTCCTTTACTCCATATTTCTCTGGATTATGAAATCGTCTGAGTACATACTATACCTGGACAAGATATGTAGCTTGTAATTCCAGAAACATACAGGAGTATATTCACAAATCTTAGGAGATTCTGTTGCAGTAATTTACCTCAATACAATTCATTAACATTTCCTTTAAGAAGCAAAGAGGTATTCCTCAAAAGTTAATCTTCTAGATGACTGAGATTTACTCCTTTAAGCTATACAACTTCAACCACTTTCATCTTTCTAAAATGTACTTCTCTTTATTACTAATGTTAATGATTATTAATATTTTACCTTTTCTTGCTGATCCATAGTCATTACTTTATACATCAACTATACAGGCAGGGTGAACATGAACAGAATTTAACTTGCTTTTTTATTTTTTCACCTATAATACCAGAATGACTTTTCTCTCCTCCTCCCTACTATTATTTACTGCCCATTCTCAGTATGCAGGTGCCTGGAACTACTATATGTAAAGAGTAATTAAGGGACTGTCAGACTCCCTTTCTTAAAATGCAATACCATAATTTGCTGGTAAGACTAGACTTCAGCTTTTAAAAAGTCATAGGTACTTTTCTCAGGTATATTATTAATAAACTCCATTAGATACATATTCATCTAAAAAAGTGTTTTCCCTTGAAGTTTCAACTTTTAAAAATGAAGCAACTTCTGCCCTCTTCATGTTTCCTTTTACAGCCAGGAACCAAATCACTTGCTTTGTCTTCCAGTGTAAGACATGTGTCCAAATCAGCTTCAACAAACAAGAAAACTGACTTCCAAAGGGGAATCTGCTATAGCTTGTTATATAGTACTAGAGGCCCTATGCATGAAATTCGTGCAAGGGGCTCGGCCCTTGCAGCCCAGCTTCGTCTGCAAGGTCGTCCGGATGGTTGTTCTGCTGTTTGGTCTAATTAGCATATTAACTCTTTATTATATAGGATGGTAAAGTGTCATATTTTTTATTTTACTACTTTGTGTTCTCTGGTGGGATAAAAGTGTAAAACAAAGACTAAGCTACAAATAGCCTAATTTATTTTTAGTCAGTAAGGTACATTAGTAAGAAGCTTAAAAAAAAAACACAACTCAGTGCTTTCTACTTCCATAAGTGGTTAAGTGACTTTTTAAGTATTGGGTATAATAATTAATATAACAAAAGAGTTTCAGATATAACTAAACTCACTGCTCATCTCAGTTTCTTTTCTTTTTTAGGAGCAACACATTAATAAATTATTCACTGAACTATATGCTAGGCATTGTTCTTAGTGGTGGACATAAAGGTGAACAAGAGAGAAAAGACATCAATAGATATTCTAATAAGGGAAAAGATGATGAACACAGAAGATAATCATAAATTCTGATAAAGTAATGAAGGAAATAAAAAGCATGATGAAATAGAGGATAAAACTTGAAGGTAGTCAAAAAAGGCTGCTCTGAAGAGATGGCAATTAAGTTGAACTATCTCCTATTAAGTTTCTACACAGATTCTGCAATGGTTTCCTTAGCACTCTTAAGTAAACTAAATGTCCCTTAAACATGTTAAGAAACAATTTTATTTCCCAAGACCATATCCAAGGAAATGACTTATGAAGGAACCATGTGCCGTTTGTTATGCTCTACAGAGCCTAAATGACTCTACTGATTGCTCCACAATCTCAGGTTTCCTAATTGACTTACCCAGCACTGTATATAGAGTCAGGAACAAGACAAAATAGTAGAAGATGTTTATTTTGCTCAAGACATGAAGGGAAAATGAGGTCAAATTTATAAATCCTGGAGGTCCTAAAGAGAATAAATTTGAAAAATCCAATGAACATATGCAAAGTTTAATTTCTTTATAACATTTTCTAGAAGACTTCCATGGGCTATCCTATATATTCAGCAAATCTGTTGTTATATGGTAACTATACAGATGACACCACTTTAAATTTATAAGTTGGCAGGAATCCTGATGAGTCAATTCACTTAGAATTGCAGAGGGTGGGAAATTCAAAGCAATGGTATAGTTGTGAGGAGTGTGCACGCACACACACACTTTAAAATGACTGAAAACAATATAGAAATACCTGCCAGGGGAGGGCTACAAGGGGTCACTAGGGAAAAATGGGGGACATATATAATACTTTCAATAATAAAGATTTTAAAAAAAAGAAAGACCCACCAGAGGATGATACTAGTTTATCTTCATGTGTGTTTGAAATACAAATCTATACTCAAGTCTTTATTTTCTAGGGGATTTGGTGTCCAAATGTACAAACTTCCAAAAGGTATGTCAAAATATATCAAAGGCATATCAAAGAAATACATTTCTCCAGTCTAATCTTAAGTATGAGTACCTGTTCAAATATTCCTTTCCCATATGTGATACAACTCTTAACTCCCAGCTATCCTCTTACTCCAACTGAAAGGGATCCATAAAGCTCTCCAAATGAGCATCTCTTAAAATAAAGTACCAAAAAGCCCAAGTCTAAGGGCTTCACACAGAGAAGGTCCATTCTGTGGCCACAGACTAAGTATTCCAGATCCTCAACCCCAGCCAGCATTCCACTCATTATGTGGCTGATCATAAATCAGGCAGCAGAAGACTATGATAGGAAGCTCAGTGCACACTGAGCAATCTTAGAGGTGGAAAGTATTTAGAGAACTGATCCCAATGGTAAGACAGCCTGATGTAAGTTAATTAGTATGTCTTTCTTCACAGGCTAGCATATAACATCATTCAGCCTGCTGACAGTTAATTTCATACAAAACGTGATCATGTATAACTTTTCTCCCTTTGTGTATTATACACTTGCTACTCATTCCTGTCTCAGCTTCCTTCTTGTCCTAACCTGGTACTTCTCAAAGTATTAATACATATCCACCTATAAGAATAATTATAGGTGGATATTTATTATCTACACTAATAAAAGAGAAACATGCAAATTGATGTCACTCCACTACACCCACCAGCCAATCAGGATGACTATGCAAATTCACCCAACAAAGATGGCAGTTAATTTGCATATGCAGGTGCAGAGTGAAGACTGAAGGCTCTGGCCCGAGCAAAGACTAAAGACTGAAGACTGAAGACGACTGAAGAGGCTTGCCTTCTCCACTGTGGCCGGAGTGAAGGCCTGGGTCCCGGGTACCGGAGGAAAACCGGTGCCGGCAGCCAGGGGAAGGAAGGCCTATTGCACGAATCTCTTCGTGCAACGGGCCTCTAGTAAATAAATAATCCTTTAACCTTAGAGGCAGCTATACTTTAGACTTCAAGCAATGATTCTCTCCTTTGGCTGCACATTAGAATAACCTGGGGGAACTTTTAGAAAATACTCAGGCCCAGGTCTCACCCTCCAGAGATTCTGATTTAATTGACCTGGGGGAGAGGGGGAGCTTAGGCAGCAATCCAGGTGATTCTAAGTAGCCTAAGAAATACTGCTTTAGCCATGCTTCTCAGCCTTAACTGCAAATTGAAACCAGAGGAGCTTCAAAAGCTACTGGTGTTTAGGTCCTATCCCTACAGAGATTCTGATGTAATAATTGGTACTGTGTAGATAGTGAGATTTTAAGTTCCCCATGGAATTCTAAAGTGTAGTCAAAGTTGAGAAGTGTTGTTTAAAGAAAAGAACTGACCTGGGGCCCTAGCCAGTTTGGCTCTGTGGATAGAGTATTGGCCTGCGGACCGAAGGGTCCCGAATTCGATTCCGGTCAAGAGCACATACCTCCGGTGCAGGCTCCTCCCCTAGTCAGGTGTGTGCAGGAGGTAACCAATATGTGTTTCTCTCACATCAATATTCCTCTCTGTCTTTCCCTCTCTCTTCCACTCTCCCTAAAAATCAATGGAACAATGTCCTTGGGTGAGGATTTAAAAAAAAAACTGACCTGGGATTGGAAGACTTGGGTTTTAAGTCTCTCCTCTGTCTCTTACTAGCTATGACATTTTGGACAATCTATATAACCTCTCGAGTCCTTGGTTTTCTAATGTTTAAAATGGGGACAATAATTCCTACCTCTCAGGATTGTTGTAAGAATTAAGTGAGATAATGCAGGTAAAATATGTTGTAAATTTTACATAACTACACAAAGATATTGGTATTCCCACATAATGAGATTGGGGCCCTTCCTCAAATATTTATATATGTACATTATGTGCAAAATATATGTGGGCAATAATGTTTCTGGAACTTTTTCATAGAAGTTTTACTCTCTCTCTCTCTCTCTCTCTCTCTCTCTCTATATATATATATATATATACATACATACATGCAGGAAAACATTCAGTAGTGCACTACCTATTCAGCTAACCATGTTACTGTTTAGTCATTACTACAGTTCTCCCCTCCCCCATAATCAGTCCCTGACCTCAGCAATTTCACCCAAGCCAAGAAGAGATAAGGAAAGTTTAATTTGACAAGTATTTACTGTCTATTATGCACCAACTCAGCGCTGGGTGCTGTGGAAAACAAACAAGAAGTAGAAAACAAAGGCTCCTGCATTGAGGAACTTAGAGTTTGGCTGAGGAGAAAATGTACATACATTTGAAGTGGTTATGTAAAGCCAAGTGATTGGCTAATTATGTATCAATTAATCGTCAGGAAGGACTATAGGGACTTAGAGAAACAAGAGCTCATTATGACCTGGAATGGTTGGAGAAAATGGTATGGAAAAAGTGGTTTTGAGATGAGCCCTAAAGGAGGCTAAGATTAGACAAGTTTAGGAAAACAATTTAAATTAGAGATGATGACCTGGGCAAAAGTGCAGAAGCAGAAATGTGCATGGTATGAACAGTGAATAATTACCTAGAATATATTACAGGTAACTGGGTGAAAATACGGCTAGTTAGGTAACACTTCAATGTCTAGTAGAGATGTCTGGCAACTTTGAGCTATATTGTAATTC